CCTTCCCCCCCCCCCCGGCCCCCTTTTAGGGAGAAGTTTCCAACATAACCCCTAAAAAAACACGCCTTGCCCCCCTACTCGCCACCACTATTCCTTCCTCCTTTAAATTTTGGAATCTTTCCCCACAATTGCGTTTTTTAACTTTATGAGTGGGCAAAACGATGTTTTATTGGTTCCCAGACCTTTCGCCCCTAAATTTCCCCTTAATCCCGTTTTTTCACTTGCCCACTTAAACTCCCCCAGATTTTTAAAATCCTATTTCGGCCTCCTCTCCGGAAATTCTGTTCTTTGTTACTAATGTTGTGGCCCCACCCCATAACAAAGAAACAGAATTTCCGGAGGATGAGGCCCAGAAATCAGGATTTTAAAAATTCCCTGGTGATTCTAATGTGCGGCCAAGGTTGAGAACCACTGTAGACCAGAGATTAAATGATTTGAGGTCTAAAGTTTCCTAGCAGACCCAGACAATACTGTTCTTTTCCTCCCTCTCCATCTGGTTTTATGTGTGACTAACTTTAGTGTGGAAAATTGTTTAAATTCTAGAGAAAAATTTAATTGGCCATGTACATACTGATGATTGAAATTATCTTCACTAAGCAATTAAGTCTAACAGACCCACTCTAAAATCACGGGGCAGGCAAGGGGACGGGAAGAGATTAACCAAAGAAACCATGGACACAGACAGTGAAGGCTTGGGGGGAGTAGGGGAGGGGATTAATGGGAGCAGAAGGGGGACATCTAATACTTTAAACAATAAAGATAAGAAGCTGAAGCCTAGATTGTATTCTCTTTTCACCCTTCCATTTTTTCTGCCCCAGTCCTTTTCCCTGCCTACCTCCAGTGCTCAAGAGTGAACTGCTTGTACCATTTTCTGGGGAATCTGATCATACCTGAGACGGTATTTGGGCTGGAGAATGGCACTGGGGTTTAGTTTAGTTTAATCTTGTGCTCTATTCTGCAGGTGTGGTGGGAGGTGCCTTTAGTGCAGTGATAAGCTATCTTCAAGGAGGTGGTGTGTGTGGAAAATTCCCAAGGCTGCAATTGCACAGAGCCCCAGGCTCCTGGGAGACCCCTGGGGGAGCCCGTTGGAGTTAGAACTGATGGAGCAGTGGGAGGGAGGATCATTTGGGGTCTATTTTGCACCTTTGGTGATGGGATTAGGAATCTATTTGGTGTAAGGAACTTAAACTTCCTTGCACATCTCCCTTTATCTAAGTTGGCAAAACCACACCCTGGTTAAATCCACTTTTCTGTCTCCTGCATACGTGCACTTATGCAGCTGAACTTGGGGAAGCACAGCCACGGACGCCACCAGAATCGCTCTCAATTCGTGAATTAAATTCCAAGTGGGTTTCAGTGCTGGTGGGGATCAAACCACCTCACATTCCCCGAGGCTTTGTCTTCAAACCTCCTCCACACGCTCCCTGAGTTTCCCCACAAACCAGCTCTTGCCTAGTCAATATTCGCACCCCTTTACCCAAGACAACCACTGGGTGAAGACAGACACATACTTCTGCTTGCTCTGTGTGAGCGGAATCAACCAGCATGCACTCAAGTCGGCTTCTTTTGTTCAACATAATGAACCTAATTCATAGTCCTGTATGTGTTAATAGTTTATTACTTTTTCTTTCTGAGTAGTAGTTCCTGTGTGACCATGTCACATGTATGTAACTTGCCTGTTAATGGACATTCAGATTATTTCCAATTGGGGGATTATGTATAGATTTAAAAAAATAAAATCACTGGACACATTTTCAGGTTGTCAGTATCATGAGAGCCAGCAGAGGGCAGTCTTTCATTTTCTGGAGACACATCCTATGGATCCTGGAAATGCTGCCATGGAGAGATGCATTAGTAACTAGTGAATAGCAGCCAAAAAACAATTTAGTCATTGACATATTCAAGGGATTGGTACTAAATAGCTTGACCAAAACATTAAGTTTTAACAAATATTAATGATAAACTAATGATGGAAAATTTGGTTAAAAGTAAAAGGAGTTTAAAAATTTAGAATAGTGAGTTGAAGCCACAGCTGTCTTGTAAATCTGAAAAAGATAACGGATGAAATGTGACCAAAATCTGACTCCACAGCCTTGAATGAGAAATATATTTAATAGTGTCTTTTAATTTCATGTTTTACAAAATAGATAATACATTAACATAGTTCAAAATTCAAGAGGTTAAATATGAAATCGCCCATCTTCTAGGCCTCCCGTTCACTTCCATAAAAGCAACCAACATCACCAGGTTCTTAGGTCTTTCCAGAGCTCGGCTAGGCAAACTCATGGACTAACTGCGGCGTACAACCCAAACCGTGTGTACTTTGCATTTTGTCCATAGAAATAGGTATTTTGGAGTTCATCTGTATCTTGGATATTCATGTCAGTACATAAAAATCATCTCCATTTTTAAGTTACATAACCCATTGTTTCATATCTTATGTAACCAGGCTATTTATTAGATTTTTAAATTGCTTTCCATTTTTTTGATATTTATGAGCAATGCTCACATTTGCATGTGAGCCAGGATACTGAATGAACTGTTTTTGAACCCATTATTTCAGAGGGCCTAAGTAAATGTAGACAAAGAGATTTTTTTTTTCCTGTTTGTCCTTGGAGTGGAAGACAGGAAAAATTAGAGGTCACCTCTTTTTGCATGCCCCATAGGTGATTACAATAACAAATCGTGTTATTGTGATCAGCATCCCCAGCGCAGGGCTGGGTACAGTGTGGGAGGGAATTAAACATGATTCACTCAGCATCACTGTTAAGCTGCTATAAAAATACAAAGAATTGAAGAAAATTACTATGGGGAGGTGGTTCAAACACATAACAATTTTAAAAAGTATAAAAGTCATTTTGTGATTTAAGCAAGCAATCCAAAAGTTCAGAAAGTCAGGGAAAGCTAGAATTAAGAAAACATTTTTAGAGAAATTGGGGCTTAAACTAGATAGACTTTGATCAGTTTGTGAAAAAAGAGGAAGAATGTTCCAGAGAGAGAGAATGTTCCAGGAGGGTGTGAAAGGCAGAATGATAGATAGACATCTGGGAGGCAATTCAACCAGTTTGGCTGTGTTTTGCAGTGTGTGGAATTATGTAGGGTGGGGCCAGGTTGTAGAGGCATTTGTATTAGACGCTGGCTCATTCACGGGGAGCCAGAGAATGACAGAATAAAGGCAGAGCTCTGATCTGGACAAGGTGTGGATGGAAGCAGATACATAAAAGGACTGTTATAATCCTAACATAAATGCAAATGACTGCATGTGGCATATATACTCAGTGAAATATTCTATAAGCTTAATAGAATTACTTTTAAAAATAATGGACACTATAGCAACATGGAAAATGCTGGATTTTTCATTGACTATTTTTATCAAAGATAAGCTTATAGACAAAGACCCAAATACAAAGAGTTGCATTTGTGTTTTGAGACATATGTATAATCTCCCCCCCCCCCCCGTCCCCCCGCCACCCCCGCAAAAAAAAAAAAAGACAAATACAATTTGGCAATGGCAATTATTGTCCTTAGGATAAAAAGGTTTAAAAAAAAATGCACGCCTCATATACATTGTCTAATTTGAACTTCATAATAAGCCGAGGAGATAAACAAGGCAGGCACCGTTATCACCATTTATAGGTTAGAGGGAGTACTGAGAGACGACTTGCCTGATTACTCATCTAGTGAGAGGTCTTCAGAGTCCACTAATGTGTTGGTAATAGAATGGGGAAAGTTCTTCATCCCTGCTTTTATACAATTTAATCCCATTTCATCAGTGTAACCCTTGCTTCATACCCTCAGGGAGAGTGAGGAGATATCACTTAAGGGTAAACTTAAATTGGGAATGGAGACTGGTAAACAGACATCCTCTCACTGCATGCCCTGTGTGATAATAGTTGCATTCAGGAAATATCCCAAATGAGTCTATCGTTTGGAATTTCATTGGCCCGAATAGTTTTCAGGAAAGTAAAAATCAAAGGAAGTGTCCATAGACTTATAAATATTCATTGCCCATATGTAAGCATAGTGAAGAACTATGGATTGCTCTTCACGCCTGACATCAATTCCGAATCTCCCATCTTCACTTTGTCCCTATAAAATGGGACTATTGTCTTTTCTGAACACAGCCCGTGTTTTCCAATCTCTGCACATTTGCTCTTGCTGTGCCATCCATCTAAAATAGCCTCTTTCCTCACCGCACTTTGTCAAATGGTAGTCATTTTTCAAAATGCACTTCAACTACCTCTTGCAAGAGGTCTTTTTTTAAAAAAAATTCTGTTCCTTCCTGCCCCTTGCAGCCTCCCAGCACATTATTCTTTTGCAGTACTTATAAACTGTCTTGTTTTAAAGTTGTCTGTGTAGTTACCTGATTCTTCCTATGAAATTTTGATGTTCATTCAAGAGGAGAGGAGGAAGGGATCTAACATTTCCTAAGCAGTTCCAATGTCAGAACATGCCAGGAATCTCACTGAGTAAGGATAATACTAGCTAATCTAGCTAATTTTTTATCAGGAATTTATAGGGCTAAATACCACTGTAAGTGCTTTTAGGTGACGCCCTGTAAATACCTGCATCAACTCATTTAATTTTCCCAATAGCCTTATGTGGCAGATACTATTGTTATACCCATTTCACAGATAGGGAAAACTGAGGTCTAGAAATATGAATTACTTTAGCCAAGCTCCCAGTGCTAGGATGTGTTGGAGCCATAATCCAAATCTAGATATTCAGCCTCCGGAGGCCTTGGGACTTGCCCTAGAGCTATTCCTAAGAGCTTCCTATCACTGAGGAGGAGGCAGGTCTGTCTCAATAAGTCTGTGCTCAAGTCCCTGAGCTGCCTGGGATTCTTTACCCTCCTGCCAACTAGGCACTGAGCTCCCTCGCTTCCTCCCCAAATTGCTGCAGTGCCTGTCCAGCCTCCCACTTCTGTCTTTTTAGTCATTCATCCTACTCTTGGCTATTAGACCCCTAGTAAGCCTCATTGACCAGATTCCAACCACCGGGGAGGAGGTTTGGAGTACCCAGTCCTCGGGCTAAGTGTGGGTCCTTCTATTTTCCTCCTTGGATCTTCCCTCAAACTGAGAACAAAAAATTATTCTGCTGGAAAGTACCTGTACTGGTTATTGCTTTCTCCTAGTGAGTCCCAATCAACATTCCCACTGGCAGCTATTTTAAAAGCTACTAAATAGGGGAATTCTTAGCCTGGGGCCTAAGGCCTCCCTGATATTTTCTTTAAAAGCATTTTTCTGTAGAAAGAACCCATAACTTTCATTAGATTCTTAAATGAATTCCTCTAAGACCTTTGTAAACCTTCCTTAAAGCATTTTTCTTTTTGGAAGCTCCACTCCTCACATCAAATATTGAAACATATTGAAATCCATGTAAAATATATTTTTAGATAATTATTAAATACTTCCTTTGACCAAGTGACATGAAGGTATATTTTATAGACATGTAATTAAGTATTCGTTTTTACTTTTTCAGTTTCCTTTTTGTATTCTAGATCCAATAATGTTTTTTAAGATCTCAAATATCGTCATAGGGCCCAGGGGTGGGCAAACTTTTTGACTCGAGGGCCACAATGGGTTCTTAAACTGGACCGAGGGACAAAAGATAGGAGCAGAATCTTTAGGGAACCTCAAAGGCAAGGTCATAGAATTCCAATGTTTCTTTACCTGGATGCCATTTCTTTTCCTGGCTCTCCTATGGCCCTTATTACTACCTGCCTTGTTCTGTGATTGTTTTTATGTAACTTAAATCTCACTCTCTAAACTGTAAGTACCTTATGATTCTTGGCATTCTCAATGTCTATATACCATGGTTCTGCGTATCTCTTCAATACCCACCTATTTGCTAAAGGAATAAATGAAAACAGGGCAGAATATTATTACAGTCTATAAGGCAACAGATTTCCATCTGACTTAAAGGTTGCTTTATTGGTGTCTATATAAAGATCATTATAGAAATAAAAGGCTTATATCTGCTTTGACCAATAAAATACTAGTACAAGGGAAGTGATACTGTGTTTGTGCAGGGCACAGCTTTTAGGAAGACTGGAAGTGTCCACCTTGGTTTCTCAGAGCTCTAAATTGCCATTTAAGAAGTCTGGCTACCCTGAGGTGCCATGCGGGAGCAGCTGTGTGAAGGGAGAGGGAGAAAAAAAAGGAGAGAGTGGGGGTAGGAGGGGAGAGAGGCTGAAGGGAGGGCAGGAATGGGGAGAGAAGAGGGAAGGGAAGAGAGCTGCTCAGCCAGCCTCCAGCTGTTGGAAACCTCAGCCGTTTGGGTATTCCCAGTCCAGCTGAGGCCCCAGACACTGTGAAGCAGAGAGGACCCTCTCTTCTGTGCTTTGTTTGAATTCCTGGCTCTGAATTGTGAGATGTAATACTACTAAAATGTTGTTTTAAGCAACTAGATTTGGGGGCAGTTTACGAAGCATTATTAACCCACTGGCTGGGTGGGGAGGGGACATCTGTAATACTTTCAACAATAAAGATAATTTATTAATAACCAACTGGAAGACTGTTTTAAACTACTATAACCAACTATTAGTTTAATTCATAAATGTATATACAAAGGTTACATGAAATAAAGAAGTACACGTTGCATTTTAAGAATTTGTCTAATAGGTTAAATTAAAGTGAACTTAAGCAAATTTAATTTTCCATTTTTTCAAATGAGTTGATCACAGATTTAATATTAAGATTTAGGACTTAGAGAAAGTTATTAAGATTTTTAAAATAATAACTGATCTCGCCTCCACAGTGGTCATTAATCCACTATGGTATAATTAGCAAGAATGACACATAATATAAGTTGCAGGCGAAAAAAAAATGGAGATCTTTCCTTCATTTTATATCCACACAAAAATGTGATGCTAACAAACTGACCAAAAACAACAACAAAAAGCTATGGTCAGCTCTGTATCTTGGAACCAAATAATCTGAAAGCATCTGTCAGGGGACCCACACGAAAGCCTTATGCTGATTTGTGGGAGAGAAGGATTTCACTGAGCCGTTTCCTGGAGACCCGACTTCTTGGTTTCAGAGCTCCTAAGCTGCTCGCCCACCGTGCCAGAGCAGCTGACTTCCCACAGCGTGTACTTCAGTATCTCAGCAACCGAGGCTCGAAAGCGCGCTTGGAACTTCTTACTAATTAGAACATAAAGGATGGGATTCAAGCAGCTATTGAGGAACGCCAAAGCGGTGGAGAGGGGGAGGCCAGCCCGCAGCACCTGGTGGTAGTAGCCACCGTGGTGTATCGTGAGCTCCCAAATGTTAAATATGTGATAAGGAGTCCAGCAAATCAAAAAGGCCAGGACCAAAGCGAGGATGGTCAAGGAATACCTATTAGAGACCAGGATGCTTTGCTTCTTCACCTTTAAGATGAGACACAAATAGCAAATGCTCATTGTGAGCAAAGGGGTAAGGTACCCATTAACAAATTTCACCCAGGTCAGAACATGGTGCCTCTTCAAAGCGAGGTCAGAATCATGCTCGTGGAAATTGTGATAGCAAAAAATGTGGTTATTCACCTCCATAGTCTCCCGGAAGTATAGGGAAGGACCACCGATTAGAGAAGCCAAAAGCCAAACGAGCACAGTAACTATCTGGGAGTTCCTTAGCGTTCGGTGCCGATGAGCTACGACAGGATGGACCAACTGGATGTAGCGGTCCAGGCTGATCACCGTCAGGAAAAAAACACTGGCAAACATGTTCAACTGGGCAATGAAGGAATTGGCCTTGCACAACCAGAGGCCAAAGGGCCAGTGGAAATTCATGGCCACATAGGAGATATAGAGGGGCAGGAAGAGAAGAAAAATGAAATCCGCCACAGCCAGATTGAGGAACCAGAAAGTGGTGACTGTCTTCTTCCACTTGAAACCCGTGAACCAAATGACAGTGGCATTTCCTGGAATGCCCAGAACAAATGCTAAGCAGTACAACACCAGGGAGACCCAGTGAGCAACCTCCAGGGGGGCTTTCTCTTCCAAAGGAGACGCTGGGGAGGAATAGTCCAAGGAATAGGAGTAGTTCTCCAGTTCTTCAAATGTTTCCTCCAGATCTTCCATGACCTCGAAAAGTGGAGAATGAGGAAATCAATAGCAGCAAATTAAAAGAAACACACACACACACAAAACAATTTTTAAAAGAACAAGACATGTTCAGTGAATAGGAACATAAGGATAAAAATATTTCATCTAAGAACTGGAGTGAGTGTATTTCTTAGCAGTATTTGTGATTATACTCTAGATGTCCAAGTGTTGGTGGACCTCAGCTTCACTCTGATTATTCTCAAAGCTGTGAGAGTTCGTTTTTTTATAAAGTATTCAGTAAGGACTAAGTTAAAATGACTGTACAGGTGCAAATCCTCTGTTCATAATGCTTGCAGGGCTGACATTCAAGACATTTATTAGGTTACTAGAGGCCCGGTGCACGAAATTCATGCACTGGGGGGCAGGGTGTCCTTCAGCCTGGCCTGTGCCCTCTCACAGTCTGGGAGCCCCGTGATTGATCACCCCACAGAGGGAGGCCCCACCCACCACCGCCGTCTGGGTAGCCTGGGCCTCCTTCTGCAGGGCAATGGCGGGGCAATCGCATTGCACCTGCCTTGGTGGCGGCAGTAGTGGTGGTAGTCAGTGCTGGATCACTGCGGCGCCTGTGGCAGCGGCTGGGACCCAAGACTGACTTCCGCTGCACGAGTTCAGTCATCCGTTTAGTCGTTTTGGATGTTACAGACCCTGGCTCTTTATATATTAGGATTCCTAGGCATGTATTATTTATGGAAGATGCAAAAAAAAAAAAAAATCCCCACCAAAAACTAGATTAATACTTATGTGGTGATGACTTCAAAATCCCTATTAGTAACATGACTTCTTAAGTTCTAGACAGAGTTTCAACTGCTTTCTCAACCCATCCATCCGGATGCATAAATAAGCACTGGAGACTTTTAACCACTATGTTGCACCCATGGATCTTATGTTTGTGGATGCAAACATGTTCATCAGTATCATATCAGTATGGAAAGCTTTTCAACCAAAAGGAGTCTTTTGGAGTAAACTTGTCTCTGGACATTTAATTTCTCCATTAATTGCCTATAGAGTACAATAAAGCCTTACTAAATTTTTATTTTACTAAAATTCCTTTGTTTTGAATGAATTCCAATTAATTTCTTTCTACATTTACAACAAAGATTTGATTTATTAATTGGTTTTATTTTGTTTCTTTTTGTCCATACCAAATTTTATCTATTGTAATTTTGCCCAAAGTAAAGGTGTTTTGCTTTTTTTTTCCTTGCAAGGCCCATTTTCCTGGGTTGAGACTTAAATGTCAACATTTCAATCAAAACAAAGTTTACTGGGTACAATTTTAGCATTATCCATTTTATTTTGTGTTATTTCTATTAGTATTCAAAATCAAATAGAAAAATAATTAATAGTTGTATTCATTTCATGGAGCTACAATCATTAATGAGGCAAATATGTACGATTATAACAGGGTTAGAAATGAAGAGTGAAAACATCTTGTGTTGCTTGCTCACTGGCATCTCTCTCAATGACTAACTCTGGATTCATCATCCTACCTAAAATCATTCGAGGAACTTAGCAGGGCACAATTAAAAAACAAATGCAATTCATTAGTGTCTTCCCAAACCAAGACCCAGCCAACTTCTCTTTATTTTTCAATATTCAGCTCACATGCCACATTTTCTTGGAAACATTTCTGATATTAGCTTCCCCCAGATAATTATAACTTTTATTACAAATAATAGTCAATGTTATTGTGAATTTACTAAGTACCAGGCAAAAAAACCTGATCATCAAAAGACTCTTATACAGTAGGTAAGTACTATTATTATTTGTGTTTATAAGAAAGGATACTAAAGCTAGGAGAAGCATAGTGACTTGCCCAGGATCATGCAACCTATAATTGGAGAATTGGCATCTAAACTCAGATCTGTTGAACCCAGAGCCCAAGCTCTTAACCACTACAACATTCCCTTCCCTGTCATCCTATTCTCAACATATTTGATACACTATTATCATTTATTTAACTTTAATTTTTGCCCTACCAAACTGTGAACCCCTTGGAAACAATATCATCTCTATAACCCCACAGTGCCTAATAAAAGTCTTCACATATCACAGGTGCTTAACATGTGCTTAAGACATAATTGGCTCTCTATAAATCCTGTTTAGAACCAATGGAATTTTAAAGACTCAGGTTAGAGTTTGTGAGTTCACCTCACAACGTTGCTGCCAGAATCTCTCTGGCTGTGATCCACAGCTCTATCCCCAGGATCTCGGCTGTTCCTTAACATTAAGTTCTTTCCTTCACGTGTCCTACCTACTCCAGTGAGCAAGACTTGGCTTCTTTCTTGCTGCCCTATTCTTTCAGGCCTGAGGTCTTACTCCACTCTCCCTGCTCCTTCTGATGGCTGGCCCTCCCCAGTGTCAAATCCTTTCTAGTCTAGTCTCCAACTACGTGTCCTGTTTTTCTGCCTGTATGTTAGGACACCCTTACCTTCTGGTGCTTAGGACCTGTATTTAGGCTATTAGCAATTCTACACCAAATGGCCCAGGTGGTGGGCTAAATCACCTTATCAAACCCCAAGCATGGAGTAGAAGAAACCTCATTCCCCAAGCATGGACAAGCCCGTGGAAAACCCCTAATTGCACACAACCACTATTCTCACCCATAATCCAGGAGCCTCCCACTTCCAATGTCATTACTGACCCAAATGATCACAGGGCCTGGTGAAGGACACCCTCACAATTCTCTTGTGGTGAGGCAGTACCTTGAGGATGAGGGATCTATCTGAACAGAATCTCTTCAAACAGAAAACTGTACGAGAAAGGTTTTTAATCTTCCAGAAGGCAGATAAGCTGACTAGGTGCCCAGACCAGTTTAGGCGAGGGGAAAGATCTTCAAGAGGAGCTGAGTGCTGCCCAGCTGAATTGTTCATGGGAAATATAAGCTTGGCGCTCCCCCACAACTTAGAGCAGATGTTTTTGTGTGGAGGTGATGCTAAAGGTAGGGGTGAGATGGAGAAAAGTGCAAAGTAAGGCAGAATTTAACACCTGTCCTACCCAGGTGAGGGAGCTAGTCATGTGGATATTTTCAGGCAAGTTTTCAAGGCAGAGGAAACAGCCAGTGCATTTCAGGAACACTCTTTTTTAACCAATGAGATGGAATATGGGAGTTTTTGCAATTGACTATGGTTGGCTGGTATGTCGCTTGCTGTATAAGAAAAGGAGGGGCAGATCTTGAGTTGTGATGATACTGGAGCTATGCTGTGTTGGCAGAGTTAAGGTCCTCTGCCCTTCATTTCATCATCTGAATGTCCCAGGAGCAGGTGGTGGCTGTAATGGGCGCAGCAGTCCAGATCCGGAGATAATGGGGTTTGGGTGAAGCGAAGAGCAGCGGACTTGCTTTCAGTGAACAGCAGCTTCTCAGTTCTAGCCAACTGTTTCCATGTGGAAAATGAGCATTTAGTGTTGCCAGAGTTTTTGAAGACTCGCTGAATATTTATATTTTTAATGTGAAAAGTTTCCAAATTCTAAATTACTGTTTTAAACAAAATAGCTATGGGCCACATTCAGTCCAGCTGCAAGTTTGTGACCCTTGGGGCAGGCACATTTGTAAAAGTTTTGAGCTTTGTGAAGGGGAAATCTACACATTAAAACAGAAGTAGCCCCACCGAGTAGCTCAGTTGGTTAGAGTGTCACTCTAATACACCAAGGTTACAGTTCGATGCCCGGTCAGGGCACATAGAAGAATCAACCAGTGATTGCATGAATAAATGTGACAGCAAATCAATGTCTCTCTCTCTCTCTCTCTCTCTCTCTCTCTCTCTCTCTCTCTCTCTCAAATAAAAATATCCTCTGGTGCCCTGACCGGATAGAGCATCAGCCTGCGGACTGAAGGGTCCCAGGTTCAATTCCAGTCAGGGGCATGTACCTTGGTTGCGGGCACATCCCCAGTGGAGGGTGTGCAGGAAGCAGCTGGTCTATGTTTCTCTCTCATCGATGTTTCTAACTCTCTATCCCTCTCCCCTCCTCTCTGTAAAAAATCAATAAAATATATTTTAAAAAAATAATATCCTCTGGTGAGGATTTAAAAAAATAACACAATACATATGAGAATGCAAATGGTGTGAAAATGCAATCTCAAAATAATATCTGCAACCTCAAAGTAAAAATATGATCTACAAAAAAACTTACTATCTTGTGCATTTCTGCCAATTTAAATTTAAAGCCTAAACTTAAAGAGATTTGTTTTCAAACTTTTAAAAATTGATATTTTGCTGTATCATCAATCATGTCATGTTATACTTACCTTTTCATTCTTGGTGAGATAAGAAAGGGCAAAAAGAGGTACAGAAAGAAAATATGGGGGAAATCTACTCGGTTTAACCATGTGGCACATGCATATGTGTTTTGGAGAAGTGGTGGGGAGATGGGAGTGCAGACTCAGGTGAAACTGGGGGGATTTCTGGGCGATGGGAAGGAGCCTTGTTGGGTAGTAACCGGAAGGAGGATGGATAGCAGCCAAAGTAGGTAGGTCTTTAAATGCAGACTTAAAGGAGACATTGTCATTTATTTATTTAAGATATTTATTTGAAATATCTTCTAAAAAGATTTTAGAAATAGAGGGAGAGGAATAGAGAGAGAGAGAGATCAATCAGCTGCTTCCTGCATGCCCCCTTCGGGGATTGAGCCTGCAATCCGGGCATAGGTCCTAACCGGGAATCGAACCTGCAAACTCTTGGCTCATGGGTTGACACTCAACCACTGACCCACACCAGCTAGGCCCATTGTCATTTATTAAACAGTCAAACCGTGTTGGCTGGCAGTGACTTTCCCTTGAGATAATGTATGGTTTTATCAATTTGGAAGCACGTGGAGAAACACAGTAACAATGCCAGGATGCAGTTTGTAGACTTGACTAAAAAGAGAAAATAGCTACCGTATTTGTCTTAAACCATATGTGCTGCTGAAAGGCAAATAAATAATTCTGACTGAAATAAAGACTAATAAAGGTCTACATGATCATAAAATCTTTTGAGTGGCCACTTCAGGAAGTGGCAGGCTGCAATGTGGACATGAATATAAGCAGATCCGCCCAAGACTGTTAGGAATGTGTAAGACATGCTTGGGGTGGAGCAAAGTTCAGAGAAGCGTCCCTGAAATCTGTGGTTTTGGCTTCCAAAGAATGCGAAGAGGCATATTTACTGCAGGGATTCGGCTGCAGTGAGGACCCAAGTTTTCACTTTCCTGGGCAGCATTTACCCAGATGCTCAAGTGGCAAATGTCTAGTTCTGGAGCACAGAATTGCTTATTGAATTAAACAAATTGGTTTCGGATCCATTCCGATTTACTGGACGGTAAAGCTGAAACTCTTTTCTGAGTAAATAGATTTCAGTGCAAGAGTTCTGGCAGAAAGTGTAGTGATAAATAGTCTAAGAAATCCAGATGACTTGGGGAAAGGACATCTGGTAGAAATGTGTATCATTAAACTTTTCGATGTGGTTTTAAACGAGGCTTGGCTTTAGAGGGAGGCATTTTGTTTATCTACCTTGACGAACACAAAGATGCCTTCTGGCAGAACATTTGGTGAGTGCAGAGAGGTTTAATTTAGTTCCATAATGTTGAGTCAGATAGGTTTCCAGGGACCATTGCTAAAATGTATACCTAACAGAATCTTAAGAAAATTTAGGCTTTAATCTACTTTGAACAGAGAAGGATTCAATGTGATTGACCTTTGGCTATGCGGATTGCCTGTGTAGGGTTCCCCCCAGACACCCTGGTTTAAAAAAAAAAAAAAGAACTCAAGAGCTGAATGTGTTTCCTGTGAAAACCATAAGGGTCCTTGAGGGAACATGTATTTTGCTTCTGATTGATGACAGGAATGAGTTGAATGAATCAGTGGACATGAGAGAGAAACTCTCTGGTGAAAACCACAGATCCATGACCCAGAAAACATATGTGGTAAGCAAACTTAATTTCTCAAGGGCTGTCTTCTTAGGGAAGAGACATTTTTTGAAAGG